TCTTACCTTCCTCACAGGTTGGCTATATGGCTGTGAATACTGAGTCCATATAGTTTCTCCAACCCTTCCTCTACACTTCCTGTACAATAACTCACCTTAGCAAGATGTGTGCATTGCAAAGACCTCAGTAACTGTCACCAGATACATTGGATGGATGGATGGATGCATGGATGCATGGATGGAGCCCAGTCACCTCAAAATGTATCAGGGTGGCTTCCTAAAGGCAGAAAAATTGAAAGGAAGGGACTTAAGAGTGACAAGGAGAAGCTAGAGATGCCCTACTTAGGCCAAGAGGCTTGAGTGGGCCACATCCATTCTTCATGTTGTCTTCCCCATGGAAAAGGGCACAGGACTGACTGGAGTAGAGCCTTTGATAGCAAGAGTCAAGGATTATAGGCACAGGATAGGAGCTGTGGGTGGGAAAGATTGCTGGACACTGAAGATTTCAAATGTCCCTTGTAAGGTGTTGACATGTGTGTACTGCAGTGGTTTCTCTCACTAGGTTCCTCTCTCTTTTCCCCTCTGTCTCTAGTTGGGCTGGGCCTGGCATCTCCCTAGGATGGACTTTCGAGTTGAGGCTTCCACATGAATGTCAAGCGTCTTGGTAGTAGCCCTCTTAGACTGTGGGTGGCCCCCTCTTCATTGTTCTCACCTCATTCTGCAAAGCAAAAGAGGATGAAACATGAGGAGGAAATGAGGTCAGTAGCAACAAAGTCAGAATGGAAATTGCAGTAAAAATATAAGATGTTTATTTCAAGCCTAATGAGGCAAACCACCCTTCAGGAAACTGGCAATTATAACTAGATGTTAACAGTTTAGAGGTGCCTGCGGCTCCACCCCACCAACAACATTGCTCCCTGGCCTACCTCCCCAGGGAGCCAGCAGCCCACAGGAGACCAGGCTCGGCAGCAGGTGGGCAGCCCTGGGAAGCAGAGCTGGGCTCCAGTGCACCCGTGAGGCCCAGGCCCTGCCCAGAGCTGGTGTTTGGCTGCCGCGTCCATCATCGCTGCCTCTTACCCCTACAGTTTTTCAGTCATCCACAGGGTCTGGAGTTCCCCAGATGTTACTCACTTACATGACATCTTCACAGGTTTTGCCATATCCATCTGACATCTGTACTTACTAGTTACTTAATTTTTTCCCTCAATTTGATTTATTTACTTATATTATAAAAGGAAACTTTACAACATACCTGCCATACATGAAAAACTGGATCATTTGTCATAATTAATAAGAATGAGTATGTAATTATTAAAACAAAACTCATTTCTTGTACACTCACAGGGGTCCCCATCCCACCTTGAGACTGAAAGGTGAAAATTAATCCTGGATTAATTTGAACTCACCTCACTTTCTTTCAAGGTCCCTCTCTCTCTCTCTCACATGACTTTCAAGGTCCAAGATCCTTTTGGAAGTAAGGATATATTTTCTATCAACACCTCATCTCACTGTATTCCTATTCATTCATTTATTCCACTAATATCAAGCAACTACCATGTACTAAGTAAGCACTTGACATACAAGAATTTAAATAAATCAGAGAAAAGCATTTCAGCCTTCTTGGAGCTTACAGTTTGGTGGGCAAAACAAATAATAAACATAATGAGAAAATTAAATAGTACATGAGAGGGTAAGAAGTGCTGTGGGGTTAGGAGATTCTGAAAGAGAAGATGGAAACTTCAAAGACGGCAAGGGTAGGCCTCATCTGAGCAGGTGAGATGAGAAGAAGTGAGGGAGGGAGTTGTGAGGCATCTGGGAGGAGAGGATCCAGGCAGCGGGGAAGAGCCATTGCAAAGGCCTCAGGTGAGCAAAGACCAAGGATGCCAGTGTGTGCGACCTGGAGAAGTGCAGGGGAAAAGGTGAGAAAAGTGCTGGGGACCAGACAGTGATGACCTGTGGGAGAATCCAGGTTTTACTTTGTGGGGGATTAGGAGTCTTTGAAGGTTCTCAAACAGAGGCAAGAAATTAGCTTACAGTGTAAAATCTAACTGCTCTGTTCAGAATTGAGTTTTGGATGGAGGTGGAGGAGAAGAGTCAGAGATAGAAGTAAGGAGGCTTGTTATTAAGAGACTATCAAAATAGTCCAAGAGTGAGATGTTGGTGGATAGATAGAGTGGCTGGTGTGAAGAGGTCAGGTTTTGGTTATTTTGCGAAGATACAGCCTGAAGGATTGAATATGGCATGTGAAACAGAGAAGTCAAGAATGACACCAAGAAATTGGCCTGAGTAAATAGATGTATTGAGTTGACATCAACTGCAATAAAGAAGACTGTGGGGAGCAGCTTTGTGGGGAAAGAGTTCAGTTTAAGATAAGACAGATTGAAGATTATCTATTGAGCATCTAATAAACTGTGCTATTAGTCACAAATATTTGCTATGTTGATGTCAGGATTGGCCATAGGACCTGATTTGGCCAATAAAATGTGAGCACAAGTTTTAAGAATTAGTTTATCTTTTGCCACATTTTCTATTTTCTCCTGCACTGTGATCAGCCATGTTCCAGACAGGAGCTGCTCCATCAGACTGAGTGCTGGAGTGATGGCGACATAGTGCGGAGAATGGGGATATGTAGAAGAAATGAGAAATAAACCTTTTTGTGATATGCCACTGAGATTCGAGGTCATTGTTAGCAAAGCATAAACCAGGTCTCTTTTGTCTCATAAGCACCCTAGTGGAATGTCAAGTAGGCAGCTGGGTATGCTTGTCTTGAGTGAAAGAAAAAGGTCCAGGCTGGAGATATAAATTGGGAAGCCATTGACATATGCATGGTATTTGAAGCCTATGGCTGGGCAAAACCAAGGAAAGACAGACAAGAAAAAAGGCCAAGAACTAGACTCTGGGGCCACCAACCTTCAGAGATGGAGAGAGGAGCAGGAGGAGCAGGAAACAGCTGAGAAGGACTGAACTGTGTGAAGGAGGAAAACCAGCAGGGTAGGAACCTGAGAGCCAAGGGAAGAAAGTGTACCAAAGCGGAGGGACAAGCATCGCCACGGCTGCTGACAGTTCAACCAGGAAGAGGACTCACAACTGACCCCTGGATTTGGCAATGTGGAAGCCATTGATGATTCTGCCAATGGCAACTTTTGTGAGTGGTGTGGGCACAGGTCAGATTGGCTTTGGTTTAGGAGGAAAAGAATTGGAAACAGCAAACATGGACAACTATGAGGGGTTGTGCTGCAGAGCTGAGAAGAGAAACTCAGTTGTTGCTGAGAAAGAAAAGGGGGTCAAGATAGCCATTTTAAGTGGGGAGAAATGATAGTATTGATTTTGTATTTTAGGGAAAGATAGTAGAGAAGAAAATTTTGATGCAATGGGACATAGAGGGGAGAGTTGCTGGAGTGATGTGCCTGAAGAGGCAAGATGGGAAGGGATCTGGTGCACAACTGGAGGGATTGGTTCATGTATGCGTCCAGGTGATTCCTCTTTGGAGTATGTGAGCATTGAGCCTTTCACCTTCTAACTTCAGAGAACCACCAGTGGTACCTTGGTCTACTTTCATTACACTTCAATCACTTCCATTAAGTCAAATAATAGAGTTCCAATAGTGTAGGGTTACTTCTGTCTCTTTTTTCTTCTTCGATCTCAAACTTGATTTAAAGTTCCTCTTCTTCACTTCCCCATCAGCCTCAAGCCGCTTGGAGAGGAGAAAGGCGTACAGGTCTAGATCTGAAATGTGTCCTTTTCTTTCCTCTTCTACTGCTTCTAGTTTGGGGGACAGGGAAGAAGAATGATGGTAGGTATTTTCTCCCTCACAGGTCTACCTATATATAGATGTCAGGGTTTCAGGCCAGCTCTGTCTGAAGCTGTGGATTCTATATAAGTGGCCATAGGACCAGGTTCAGCTTCACCCTGGCCTCTGGATGAAGCTGCAACATCTCCCTTTGGTCATATCTATAGAACGACCCTCGACCCCTTCTTTGGGCAGGCTTTTCATTGATTGGCATCCCAGGGTACTTCCCTTCTGCTAACTTCATGCTTTGCTGGAGTCTTTGTCTGCAAGTCCCAAAGCCAGGGAGCCCTGGACTCCTTATCCTCCTTTGCCTTATTTTTGTCCATAGTCCTTAACACATCTCACTGTAAGACATAAAATCTTACAGATTTTAAAATTGTAAAAAAGATTGTGAAAGCTCGGACAACAGGAGTGCTTGTCTGCTCACTGTGAAATGCCCTGTGCCCAGGAGGGCCTACCATCTGGTTGATGCTCAATAGATGTTTCTTGAAAATAAATGAATGAATGAAATAGGAATTAGACACAGCTTCTTCCTAAACACGTTGTGTATGCTAATAATGGCCCTAATGAGACATATCTCTCTGTATTCTCAACCTTCTATAGGTCTCTCCCAAATTAACTTGGCCATGTGACTTGCCTTGGCCATGACGCAGCAGCAGGAATGATGAAGGCACACCTTGTGCCTTGGAGCTTATCTCCAAGTGCTTTGGAATGTAGCCACCATGCTGACAAGTACAGGGCCACTTGCTGGGAAAGTCTAGCTCAGCTGATAGCCCGCACCAGTTACCAGGCACATGAGAAGATCACCTGAGGCCACCCAGCCCCAACCAAGCTGTGAGAAGACTACAGTCATATGGGATGCCTACATAAAACATGACTATAGAGTCATGAGCAAATTAAATGACTATAGTTTTAAGCCACTACATTTTAAAGTGCTGTCTTATGCAGCAATAGATAACTGTTGTAGCACACAGCGCTTTGGCCCCTTCCATTCCTGCTGACAAAAGATACTTCACAAAATATTCCTCTCTTCTCCACAGCAGTACTCAAACTCAGGAGTCCAAAGGAGTCCATAAGGCCCATTTCCTCTTTGTGCATCTCTAGCCCCATAAGTCACTGTGCTAGTTGATATAAATTGTTTCCCAGAAACACACCTACTACACAAGCTGACCTTTGGAAAATAACCCGGTTACTCAGCACTCACTCTGCCTGCCTGTGCACAGGAATGAGGAAGAGAGATTTTTATAGGACTCTCTTTGGAAGTCCTAGCCAGGGAATCTGCAAATTATTTCCAAGAAGAAATGAAAGAGGTTGGGGGATGGGGAGGTGAAGCTTCAGCAGCATGAGCCCCTGGCCAGTATGCTCCAAGACTCACTCAGTCCTCAATGTACCCTGTGGCTTCTGAAGGTTTTGTTTTAACCTGCCTTGCATTTCTCCTTCAATCCCCTAGGTCCGTGCTGTTTCCTCCCTCCAGACAGAGATCTGCATGGCATACTCACCGGGAAAATCATACTCTTGCTTCCTGACCCCATGGAATTAAAAACCTGGGCTGCCATGTTGGCAAGGGTGAGTAAACAGGATCTGAGATGCTGTCTCAAACACATGCAATCTTGGCTCCACCAGCCCCAGGTGTAATTAAGTTGTACAGGAGCAGATGTGGTCTCATTTTGCACAGGCTACCAATTCCAGAGCCTTTAAATTCAAGCATTTGGGGGCCCAAATGGGGTACTTCATTTCCTTCTGAGGCCAGTTCACTTCCAAAGCAAGCACCCTCAGTTCTGACTTCAATCACATGTACTAAATGGGAAATGCCTGAGGTGGTAGATATCCGTGAAAGGGAAACTATATGCCCCTGCCCAGCCTTTCTCCCCTAATAGCTCCCAGCTCTGTGAGATGGCTCTGGAGTCCAGAAAAACCTCAAGCTTTCTCCTGCCCCCAAGACCACTCAAAATGAATGCCAGCGCTCTAGATCAAATGTAACCTAGAGGCATTCAGAGGTGTTATACCTGGCTAACTACATGGTGGTCTAAGAACCGAAATTGTATGTAAATCTCAAAGCATCCAGAATCTCTTTAATTTGGGCAACAGTATGACTGCTTGGCACAAGTCAACTAGAGTTGAGTAATGACTGTATCTTAGTCCACCACAGCCCATACTGCTCCACATTATATCACACTCACCCAGTTCACTCACAGGTATTTTCTGTCTGGAGCCCAAGGCATGTTCATTTGGGCCCTGAAGAATATATAGACATGCCACCCAGATAGCCCTGGAGGGAAGGGCTTGCAGCCCTACTGCAGAGTGTGGCCAACAGATGGCCTCAACCTGTCGTTTCTCCAGCGTCTGTCTCAGCTGCAGAGCACTGTGTCGCTGGAAGTCACACAGCACTCAGGGCTGCCCGTATCCAGTGACTGAGTGAGGTGGGGGACATAAAGTCTCTTCTGGGCAAGTCTGGGAGGCAGCATTTGCCTCTTGGGTGGAGCTGGCCAATACTTAAGCTCCCAGTGCAATTCAACTTCTTCCTTTGCTCAGTCCTGCTTACTCCCCCTTCATTTACCAGGGATTGATGCCAGAATTAGTATTCTGCATCCCACATCCCATCAACTTCTGGAAAACCTAACCAGCAACACGGAGCTAAACTGAGTGCACCTCTTGGGAAACCCAGATTCTGGGCTCTACTTGAGTACAGGGTAAGCTGGTCCCCACATTGTCAAAGAAGTCCCTAGGGACAAAAAGCCATGCCAGAGGAACTGGCAGCAGGCCATTATAATGAAGTATAATATTCAATAGTAGAAGAATTTACTAGATACAGACACAGAAGTAGTATAGAAGAAAGAATCTTAAAGCTGGTGGAAGAAATCAGGAAGAAAGCTACACAAATGTGGTTAGTTTGAGAAAGATTTGAAGGATGAATAGGAGTTTATTATATCAGTAAGGTGGAAAGCTTTGGAGTAACCCAAGTATTTTGGTATTTCTAGTGCTCAAGTATCACCAGGAGAGGGACCAAAGACTGAGTCAGTGAGGAAGGCAGAAGCTAAAACTGAGATGCTGTAATACTATTCCAAGTAATTTGAATTTTTGCAAAGGGCTTATTTTATTAGATTTTTAAAAATATCATACAGTAAAATGCCTCTGTTATACAGTTCTATGAATTTTAACATATGTACAGATTCATGTATTTACCATCATAATTAGGATACAAAACAGTTCCATAACCTCTAAAATCTCCTTTTAAGCACATCCTCCCTTGGTAGTCACTGATCTGCTCTCCATCACTACAGTTTTGCCTTTCTGCCTTTTGAGACTGGTTTCTTTCATTCAGCATAATACCTTTAAGATTCATCCAAGTAGTTGCCAGTGTCAATAGCTGATTCTTTGTGTTACTGCTGAGTAGTATTACATCATATGGATGTTTATGCCCCTATTGAAGGTTATTTGGGTTGTTATTAGTGTGGGGCAATTATGAACAGAGCTGCTATAAATACTTGTTCACAGGTCTTTGTATGAACATAAACTTTCATTTCTCTAGGGAAAATATGTAGGAGTGGGATTGCTGTGTCATATGTTAGCTGTACATTTAACTTTTAAAGAAACTTCCAAACTGTTTTCCAGAATATACTATTTTCTATTCTCACAAATAACATATAAGAGTTCCAGTTGCTCCACATCCTCTTCAGCTCTTAAATGTATTTTTTATGTCAGCCATTCTAATACGTGTGTAGATTTGCCAAATGTGTTTTAAGCAAGAGAGTGACTTGATGAAATGTAAGAGAAAAAATAAAGTCAAAGAAACCACTTAGGAGAGTGATGCAGTAAATATAGACAAGAGACCCTAGTAGCCTGGACAGGGTGATGGCAATAAGAATGAAGTGTAGGGGAGAGGACTTGGGGTTGAGGAAAGGAGTCTAGAGTGACCTATTAAGATCCCAAAGTCCCAGATAGAGAGAAAATCGGAATTCCACTGTGAAGTCAGTGGAATGGGTTGGGTCAATGGGGAGTGGAGCAGCCTCCCTCTCCTGCTGGCTGTGAAGCCCTGTGCAGATGGTTACACCAAACAGCTTGGCTCCACTTACTCAGGAAAATTTATGCCTCACTCTGTGGGGGGAGATGTGTCTATCTGGCAGCCTGTGTTAACAGAATTATAAACCTGCCACCAGCCCACATTCTGGGAGTGACCTATGATGGTTATAAACATGAATGCATATGTCCTGATTGTGAATCAGACAAAGAGCCCCAAGTATCCAAAAGCTGCCTGCATGGAGGTGAATGAACTTCTTTTGTCTAAATGCTAATGAATTTAGAAAGTTATTTTCTATTGATGCAGTAGTTCTTAGAACCCTGGGTAAAGTGAATAGTTTTGAAACTCCATGTAAAATTATGAATACCAGGAAATGGAAATGGTAATTAGAAGTTGCCACTTCAAGCATTGGAGGCTTGTATTTAGTATGGGCTTGAGTGGGTTGGGCACCAAGGCTCTGGCTTCTCTAGAAGAAACTGTAGAGAGGTTCTTCATGGGATATCTGCAAAAGGGATCTCAGTGTATCCTGACCAGCCCAGTGCCAGGCACCCAGATCCCATAGCCTGTGCAGAATTTGCCTCCACCATGGAAAGAATTCCTGCAGAGTTCTCTGGTAAGTTCCCTTCCTCTCATCTCTGCAGTATCCACCCTTTTCTGAGAACCCCATAAACTGTACCTTACTACAGAATAGTCAAAGCCTCTTATTATCCTTGCTTTTCAGCTAACCTCACAATAACTCTAATATTATTCGCCCATTTTTCCACTGAAGGTTCAGAGAAAGTACATGACTTGTCTAAGGTCATGCATCAGGTCGGTGTTTGATATGGGATAAAAAACCAAGTCTATGGATTTCACATACAAAACAACCTTCCAGTATGCTAAAACACTACCTTTTATTTGGTAATTGACTTCAAACTCCAAAGCAAATGGAATTCAGGACTCTTTGCATTCATCACAGTCTGTTTAATCTGTGCATTGGATTGGCAGTTCTCACCATCACCACCACCACCACTCCCAGGGAACTGCCCCTCCTGCCTTCTCTCCGTAAAGTTACAGCAGCCATGTTTGTATGATGGCATGTGCACTGCTCAATGTACAGTTGATTGGTCCACAGTAGACACCTGACACAAGTGAACCAATCAGAGTCCCTACCCTGGGATTTTAAGCCCATGGCTGAGAAAGGAAGAACTGGTTCTCTCTGGAGGTCTGTAGAATGGGACCTTGACCATATCTTCAAGATGGAATGGGAAAGAGAATCCACAGAAAGATAGAAGATTGAAGATAATGTACAGAGCAGGTCAAAGAAAAGAGATGGTGACAGCAAGCTGTTAGGAGCCTTCCAGAAAGGAAGTTCCATGGAATCCAGTTGTGGGGTCCCAGAACTTGTTTGGTTTTTGTATTTCCTGATGTTTAGGTGTTCAGCTCTTCTTTGGGCTTTAGAGAGTATCTAATGCTGCCAACAAACACCTGCCCTTGACTTTTTTTGTCCTTAAACCTTTTAATGTTTGTTCCTGCACCTTGCAGAGGAAAAAAGGAAAAGCTTGATGAATATAGATTCCCTTGCTTTTCTTTACAGAACTGATCCCCATCTGAAAATACCTCACTTACTTGTTTATAGTCAGATCCTTCAATGGAAGCGAGCTCCCTTCAAGAGAGATCTTCTCTCTCCAAGCTATATCCCCAGAGCCTGGCACAGCTCCTGGCATATATTAAGCGTTCAAGACATAATTATCAAGCAATAAATGAATGCATTGGCTATAGAGGCCCTCAGAAATCATCCAGTCTGACTACTTCATTTTATGAGGGAAAAATTGAGACCTAAAGAAGGAGGATATTGACAAAGGACCCACAGTGAGTTTACCAATGACCCAGGACTGGAATGCAGGTCTCTGTCCAGCACTGGGGGAATAAGCTGCCCAGAACAGTTGCAATAAGAGCCGCCAGGTGCTGGCCAGTCCCTGAGTACCTGGTGCTGTGCTAAGAGCTTTCATTAAACCTCACATATGCCCAGAAGGGCAGATGCCTGACTCCCATTTTGCAGGTGAGGAAATGGAGGTCTTGAAGGCATTGCATAACTTTCTTAACACCACACGCATAGTAAGCAGCAGAGTATCCCTCCTATGTCCCTTTGCCCCATAATTTCTACTCTTTCCACTTCAAAATCTTACATGCACCATGCTCTTGTGTTGATTCTAGCAACTCAAGACCCTCACTCCATCAGGACCGTTCCTTCCTGGGCCACAGACTTAGGTAGTTGCTCCATCTGTCTGACCTATCAAAACATATCTGTCCCATATCCCACACCCTTGGACCTTGGTAGTCTATAACCCTATCTACAAAGTGAATCTGTGCCTGGGTAATGATGACTGGGAAAGATTAATGATGACACCTTTAAGAGGTCTTTACACTGAGCACAAAGCTTAAACAGAAATCTAGAACCTCCTTAACTCATGAGAACCACTCAATGTGCAGAGAGTCCAGCACATTGCCACAGCAGAATTGTTGATACTTTGAAACTGGGGGTCTTTGGAGCCATCATGTCATGCTCCAAGAATGATTATTTGTTCTATCCCTGCAGATTTTCAGTCTTGGTTACTGGGACACAGGAAGGAGACTGAAATGGAGAATAAGCACTGAACCCAGAGCTAGAAGACCTCAGTTCAAAGCACAACTTCAGCCTCTGCCAACTTTGTGACTGGACTAGTTAATACATTTCTGTAAATACCTCATAGCTTTAAAAAGGGAGGGGGTGAGTAATAATGCCTTCCAGGGGTGTCATCCAGGAAATCTTGTAATCAAAAATAAATGGAAGTAACTGCTGTACACTCTTTGGATATGTATTCACAAGCATTTATTGTGAGCTCCTACTCTGAACCAGGCCTGTGCTAAGTGTAGAAATCAGCCCAGAGCTGCTGTCTTTTCTGACTTTGAGTTTGAAAAAGCAGACTAAAGCCTTCCTGACAAGTGCTGCTGGACTCCCAGAATTAAAGACCATCCTAGCAAAGGTTAATTGGTTAAATGTATTAGCCACTAGAAGAGGAATTTCCACTTGGCAATTAAGTTTGCAAATATTGTGCAACCTTGTAGAGTGGATTTCTCCAAACTGATGTGTTCTTTTTCATGTAATAATCAATTAGTGGGTGTTTTAGTTGCTTAATTAGCTCTGCATGTAAATTAATCTCTGCATATTGAAATTGCAAACCGAGCATTGTAATGTTGGCTTGTTTCTGAGGTAAATCAAATTACTGCATCCCTAGCAAAGGTTCTTGATTTTGAGAGTTACCAAAAGCTAGTAGTTTCCTTTTGCCACTTGAGTGCGGGGACTTAAGGAAAATATGGAGTGTAATAACCAGACTAATTATATTTACCCATGAAGAGGACTACACGTCAGTTCTTATTTCTGCTCTTAGGCAAAGCTGCTTATTGAACGATTAAACTCTCTGAGCCATTTAGTTTTCATGCCTAGGTCTTGATATTACTGAGAAATAAAAGATATGTTTCCCACTCCCCAGGCAGAGTTGAGAGCTGGCAGATGAAATCCATTCTGTTTCAGTAAGGAGGCTGGGTGGTAAAAAGAAGGGCAAATTCAGGACCTGTTCTGACTCCTCAATCTAAAGGAAAGCCCAACTCCTCCAAGAAGCCTCCCCTGACTGCACCTAGCTGTAGTGACTTCTTACTTCTCCAGATTTCCCCTACCTAAGATGGCCATACCCTCTCATCTGTTAGATGCTATGGTACAGGCTCATGGCACAGACACAAACAGGTCTGGGTTTGAATCCTGACTCTGCTATCTATTAGGGTGTGACTTTTAGAATTCAAGTATTCTCTTCACATGCAAAGTGAAAATAATAATATTCCACCTCCTCACACAGTCCATGTGAGGCTCAAATGAGAACAGCAGTGTAAAAGCTTTTGATAAATAGTAAAGCACTTTGCTAACCATAAATAAGTGTGAGTTATTTTGTGTTTCATGTTATTTTATTGCATCTTGCAAAGGATGGGCTAAGCTGTTGCTTCCCTCAGGTCTCCCATAATGTCCAGCCCAGGACTGGTTTGCAGCCCAGCTGAGTGCTCAGCAGGACCCAGGAAGATGGAACACCTGGCTTTGGGCAGCCTTCCTTGGAATTCTGCTGCCTGGTCTCTGAACTTCCTCTTAGCTTGGTTTCCTATAAGCATTTTGAGAAATGTGAGAGAAGTAAAATCCTCTCTGTAACCTCCAGATTCTTGGGGCTGTGTAGACAGACAAGGGAGACCTGGGCTCCCCCTAAAATTACCTGCCTCTGCCATCACATTGTAAACATGGCCAGCAAAACTCAGGAATGGAAATCTAACCTTAACAACCCAGCCAGAAGAAAATCTACTGGCAGCCAGATCTTTTTATGGGTCACCCACATGGTCCAGCCCCCAGAGGCATGGCCAAGAAGCCCACGGACTCTGCACTGAGCATCCCCATGACTCTGAGGAGCATCCAGGAGGCCTTCATGGAGTGGAGGGGACCAGTGCTCCCAAACGGGCATCGTCTAAGGCCCGTCACCAGCCTCCCTGGATCTGTCAGCTCAGCGGGAAGGAGAACTCCCTGAGGCAGGGACCCTTTCTGGACCAGAACACTCAGCACAACTCTGAGCACATAGGAAGTGCTCGGTAAAATCTTATAAGAACGGAGGTTGAGGATGAGCACAAATGAAGGAATAAGTGAGCCCATTAATACATAAACATAAAGAAATAATCAGTCAATGAATGAATGGACAGAAATGAAAGAATGAAGAAAGGAATGGATTTTAATGGGCAAATGAATGAATGAGGGAATGATCCCAGTCAAGAATGGAGAGTCTTTCTGTCCACACCCTGCCCTCTGTACCAGATATTCCTGCCTGCCTCCTGGGTGCCCCTGAAAGCTACACAAGAATGGGATAATTTTTGTTATGCCTAGGAATCCCCCTTGTCTTTAATGGCCCAGGATGTTCTTTCAAGTTGTTGAGAAGTTCTTTTCCACGTTCTGTATCTGCTGCCTGAGAAATCAGAGGGTTTCTGCAGCCAATGTGTTTAGAATTTTAATTCAGAACCATGCAACCCTCACCTGCCAGTGCCATGGTGTGAGCAGAACTTCCTTCCCCCAGGGACCACAAATTCCAGAAACAACCACCCAAGGCCTCCGTGCATGCCTTGATGACCCAAAGTGACATTTACTTGGGAGGTTACTGATGGCTGAAGCTTCCCACTTGAAACACTGGGGAATAAATACTCTTCCTTCCCAAAAGCCAGGTCCTCTCCCTAATCTTGGAACTGAGGTCTCCCTGGCTCTGCGTTCCCAAAGCCTAGTGTTTATGCTGCACTGTAGTACTTAGCACAGACCACTAAGAAATTCTGATGAAGGAAATGGTGAAGAGCTGTCTAACTTCACTGGAGATGCCGGTATAAAGAACCGGCTGACATGACCCAGAGCAGCCTGCCACATACACAGGTTTTCTGCAGAAATGATAAAAATTAGAATTGTTTTCTTTAATATCCCTCTCCATCCTGCTCAAGGATGGTATGCACAGCCTGGCACTTTGATAGCCACTTACTAATCAGTTCACCACCTCCTCCCCCGACACACACACACCTGCCAAATGCAAGCAAGATTCACTGTTCCCAGACTCACTGCAGGGTTTTTTCTCTCTCCTCTCTCCCTTTTCTCTTATAAATCCTATTTTTTTTTTTTTTTTTGGCAACGGTCTACTGACTATTTTCCCTCTCTAGGATAACCAACCATCTTGTTTTGTCTGAGCCTTAGGGGGTCCCTAGGATGCAGGACTTTCAGTTTTAAAAATGAGACAGTCCCTGACAAACTAGGACATGTTAGTCAGAGTATCACTTGCACATGAGAATACTTGTGTGCAAAATAACGGTTTCTAAACTACTCCTTGAAATCATTTAACATGTGATACAAACCCTTGAAATCCTTACATACTGAGCACTCAGTACATACTAGCTGCTGTTATAATTCTTGGTATTGTCATATTCTGGTTGCTCACAGGCAATGTCACCCCTGCCCCAAAGGTGTTTGTTCCTTCCATCCTCCTGTACCCGCGACTCAGTAACGCACCCCACAGAGTGTGATGAGTCCAATGCATCATTTTAATTTAACAACGTTTACTGGGTTCCCAAACACCGAGCTAGGCTGAGATTTAAGAATAAACTCTGAATACACTGTGAGGCTTATGGCTGAGTGTGGGAGACACACACTGAATAAATGAGCGCAGGAGTTAATGCATATCTACGCATTGAGGTAATGGCAAAGGAGATGCATAGGTTGCTGTGAGATCTTGTAATAGGGGAACCCTAATTTTGGTAGGGGAATCAAGCCAGGACTGTCTGAGGAAATCACGTTTACATTAAGACTAGAAGGGTGGTGGGGGATGGGCAGGCAAGGAGAGGGGAAACTCCCACTTTGAGAGCCAGAAGGAGCCTTGCACATTTTGCACATTCCTCTAGTTAATGAACCAGAAAGTCTAGTTATTTAAATGAAGGCAATGGTGGAAACTGTAAAGTTTAAGACGTTCACCTAACATACCTGATTAGTTCACGTTCAGCTGCTTTGTGAGAATTGTCCTATACACATGTGCCACAGTTCAAGAACTGTGATCCACAAAAATCTAGTTTGATAGGAGCTAGGTTCTAAGGAGAGTGCTCTTGACCTTCAAAAGGACTCTCCACCTTTCTTGAGGTTTCTGTGTAAATCAAGATAATGGGGGGCAGAGGAGAGAGCAGAGACTCTGAGGCAGAGGACCTGCGGTCAAGACCTCACTGTGCCTTCACTAACAATGTGCCCTCAGGCTGGCCCATTATCCCCTTTGGGTTCCACTTTACTTGTCTATAAATGGGCACAATGGCCCCTTTTCCCACCCCCAGCTACCTGGCAGGGTTTGTATAAAGAACAAAAGAATAAAGCCCTGGAAAAATATTAGCTCTCTGTACCTATATCTCCTTCCAAATTTTGAGATATTTCACGATAGCAATTCTTGTCCTAGTTCATAGCAGGAGAATGAGGGATATCTGATAAACAGTTGAATGATGTCATGTGATACTAAGAGGTAGAATAAATACACATGTTCTAGTTTCAGAAAAACCTGGGCTTGACTTCAAGACCTACCTCCTTTCTGGCTGTGTGACCTTAGACTGGTGACAGAAACTCTCTCTGCCTCAGTTACCCCAACAATGTGTCAGAGGGCTAGCAGAGCATCCACACTCTGTCACCACAACTCTTAAAATAACCCAAGTCCTTTCCAGCCCAAGAGCCTTTGCATGTGCTGTTCCCTTTGCCTCAAATGCTGTTCTTCCAGATTTTGGTATGGCTGGTCATATTCATCCTTCAATTCTCACCTTAAATGTGACTGTCCTCAGAATAGCCATTCCTGGACACCCCCTTTCAGTAGGGCTTCCTCTGTCTCTTTTTAAAAAACTCCATTTGATAGTATTGCTGTGTAAAACATTACTCCCAAAATTTAGCAGCTTAAAAAAACAAATATTCATTATCTTATAGTTTCTATGGGTCAGGGAGCTCAGAGTCTCTCACAGCCTGGAACCAAGGTGCTGACTGAAGCTGCGGCCATCTCAAGGGTCGACTCAAGGGGAAGACACCTCCAGGCACTCATGAGGCTGGGACAGGGCTGGGGTCCTTGTTTGCTGAGATTCTGACAGAAGTCAGTTCCCTGCCATGTGTGCTGTGCTCACATGGTAACTGGCTTCTATCAGAGCAGGGCTCAGACAGAAAGAGATTAGTAACAAGCATGACAGAAGTCATGGTCTTTTTATAAATCTTCAAAGTGAC